AGAATGCAAAAATCACTTTTATAAGGTGTTTGAACAGTTGTGTGGCCGCAGTGTGTGAAAACAACCAGCCTATAATGGTAAAAATCCACCCACTCATTTTTTTTTTTTTTTATAATCCCAATAAATCATAAAGTCTCTTTAAACGAGCGGTTCCAGATTTCTCCCTACGTACACGTCATCGTATGGAAAAAGTCCCACCCATTTGTGATGCTCTCTGCCCTATTAGCATATACACAGCCCTGAGTGAGAAGCAGCGGTCCGCCATTACTGTTTTCTTGCTGTAGCTGCTGGAGATACAATGTCAGTGCCAAAGAGGCATTACAAGTGTCGTGTGTTGGGATACACCAACGAACACAGGAGTCTCCATAGACCGCTGACGACATGGTGGTTAAATGTAAATTTTCAAAGTAAACGTCCCGGGAAAAAAAACAACAGAAAAGTCCTATATGTTTGTGCTAATCATTTTACACCAGACTGCCTCACAACGAGGGTCAGTTCAGCGCTGGAGTTGTGCAAAGGTTGCTTCTGAAAGAGGGAGCAATACTAACGCTTTGTGCGCGAATGACGGCTCTAGACAAAGCAAGCATCATGCGTCATATTTTGTTTTCCAAATTGCCTTTCTGAAAGAGCTTCTTGGTACTCTGTAAGGCTAATGTTGCTAAAGCTACCATTGTCTCTGCCTGTTTTCACTAATGCTGCCTTCACATGCTACCAGAATGATCGTAAATAGGAATGTGGTAGTTAAAAATTGCATATGAAAGCAATCTGAAGTCGATCACTTGAATTTTTCAAGCTCGTAATCACAAGTGGGACTTATAACATTTGTGATAGCAAGCAAAGGCACCATGAGACCAGCTATGTCGTTATTTTTAATCGCGCCATGCTCCCGTCTGTGTAATTCATAAACGCGTATTTACTGCACAGTACAATCAGATTGCATGAGATTGTCCAGTTTTGCCGGAGTATGAGATCTTGAAGCTCCACCATCTTCTGAAAAGGGAGGCGGGAGCACGAGCTCATTTGCATTTAAAGGGACAAACACAAAAATGGCATGTTTTGGCTCATACCCTAAAAGTGGCAATTTTAACAAGCTATAAAAAATTATCTGTGGGGTATTTTGAGCTAAAACTTCACATACACACTCTGGGGACATCAGAGACTTATTTTACATCTTGTAAAAAGGGGCATAATAGGTCACCTTTCACATTATCTACGAGGCAAAGGCTTGTTTATCTTCACATGCATGTCATGCTGTTTATCTGATACTCACCAAGGGAGACAGCGAGGGAGGGATGGAATGATACAAATCAAAAAACAGCTGCAAGGTTGAGGAATCCAAAAAGGCTGCAGAAGAGAGAAAAATCATAAACGTATGCATGAATTCAACACGAATACCCCGTTACTGCTCAAAAGGACTTTTTGAAAGAAGTCTCTCATGCTCACCAAGGCAGCATTTATTTGATCAATAATAGTCAAACCAGTAATATTGTGAAATATTTTTAGAATTTAACCGTTTTCTATTTCAATTAAACTAAATATTCAGTATCATTACTCCAGTCTTCAATGTCACATGGTTCTTCAGAAATCATTCTAATATACAGATTTCCTGCTTAAGAAACATTTATTATTGTTATCAATGTTGTGTGGTTCAATATTTTTTGTGGAAACCATAATAATCTTTTATGCTTTTTCTTTTGACAAAGAAAGTTCAAAACATCAAAACCTTTTGAAACATTATACATGTCTTTAATGTTCTTAAAAAAAGTCTTAAGTCACAACAGCAAATCAGAAAAGAAAAAAAAAATTACACATCTTTTTTTGTTTCAAGAAATCTTGACTATATAAGCAATTCTTAAGAAGGTTAAACATATTCAATTTAAAATTCAAGTTGCACCATACATTCATTGTTTGCCAAAAATGTCAGATCACCTGATCTCCAGCTGGTGGGGATCTGGACGGTGCACAGATCATCTGAGGATTCATCGGTGGATGTACCAATGAAATCAAAGTTGAGGCAATTGTGGGCCAGTTTGAGTAGCTGCATGAGTAGCCCATGCTGGCTCTCATCATTTAGATTCAAGTTCTTCCCAGATGCCTGCAGACATACAGAACAATCCATTGAGTCCTTGACAAATCCCAAGCAGGCTGGTTTAGCGGTTGTGAAGAGGAATATATAGACAGACAGTTCTTTTGTGCAGTCTCTGAAGCATTAGCCTTACCTGCTTGAGGAGGTTGCAGGAGAGGGTGAAGATGTCAAACAAAGAGGAATCTCGAAATGATGACGCAATCTTTCTATGTTTTGTAAGTGGATGTGTTGAGTCTGCCTGGAGAATCGAAAGATGATTCAAGGAATCAGTCATTTATCTTTAATGTGACTTCCAGTCATTGATCCCAAACAAACAGTAAATAATTTCCAAGCACTGAGGAAAGACTAAATGAAGAAATACTGTGAGCGTAGAAACTTACTTGGTTAATCTCATTGGTTAACTGGGAAAGAATTGTGACTCCTATGATGCAGTGTTCAACACTATCCTGAAAGAGTCAAATAAATAAAGTTAAAAATACAAACAACTTCATAACTTCTGGAACATTACTCAAATTTAATATAAACCAATTTTAGCTTTTGCCTTTAAACATGCAATGTCATCATTTATGCCATCATGTTGAGTATGAAAGTGTGAGTAACAAACACTTCACATGAGACAACTCAGCTTTAATGATGTACTCTAATGAACATTTTTGACCAAAAAAGAAACACTAAAGAGAAAACAAATGCCAGCTGCAACTGTTTGAATTTTCACCACAAAATGCTTCTATAGACGTAATTACAATTATATAATAATTAGAGCCCGACCGATATGGGTTTTTTGGGGCCGATACCGATATTATGGAGTAAAAAAAAAGTCAGATATCGATATATCGGCCGAGATTCTTTGTGTATATTATAGTACAGTACCAGTCAAAAGTTTGGACACTTTCCCATTCATGTGTCCACACATTTGACTGGTACTATATATAGAATACAGTATATACAATAAACAGAATATATATACATAAACACATTTTTTGCAATGATCACTCAAATGTGGTGATCAAACACTTATAATGACGTGACAGAGATATGTAATGGAGGCAGGGCATTTATTAATTTAACAATAAACTTTATTATCCAAAATGAGTCTAACATCAGTGCACTGAACAGTAAAGTTGAAGTTCATTCAACTTTAATTCAATTCAATTCCATTCAACTTTATTCCGTTAAAGTTTATTTCACTTCGGAACATTCAATCACGGATTTGCGCTACTGTCTTCACACACAGACGAAACTTACTAGAGAAGTGTGAAGTGTGACATAATATACCTCTGTAAGTAAATACAATATAAATTCACGTCTTGCGCACTTTAATTCCCTTTGAATGCAATGTGTATGTTCCCTTGGAACTGGAATCATGGCGGAATTTCATGTGAAGTCCACTTCGCAGGGCACTTACGGTCGAATAAGACAACGCTTGAATGCTGCTGCCTGAACAAGTCCTTACTGAAGTGAAAGTGTTTACTGGTGTCACTATCTCGCGAACGCGCCGGCGGATCTCCACCAAATTCGGGGGATCCCTTCAGCTCGAGGAGCCCTCTCAAAGCCACCCTCCGCGCATCGGTAGCCCCCCGGGATCACTTGATCGGTCGGCGCCGGACCGCAAATTTAACCACCTGTAACTCCCGAACCCCGGGGGCTATCGACGCGGGGGTGGTCTCATTCAAAAGCGGGCCTCTAGACGTACACTCAATTCACGTTCGAGAGGGCTCCTCGAACTGAAGGGATCCCCTGAATTTGGTGCGGATTCGCCGCACTGTTACGGAGATATGGCCGTTCAAAGTTTCAATGGTTTTCCATAGACTTAAGCTTCAAAAGCGTTTCATCCAGGTCACCAGTAGCAAACAATAGAGCGCGCTCTGCTGGACAAACTAAGTAATTACACCATTTCAAGCATTTTATCTGCGTTATATGTTCTGTAAAAGAAATGTTCATATCGGCGGCACATTCGCCGATACCGATATATCGGCAACAGGCTCATATTGGCAAAACGATATATCAGTCGGGCTCTAACAATAATTATCTAGTTGTTGTGCAGTTATGTTTAAAGGTCCTCATTTGTGAAACAGGAGTTTTTGTGTATTGAATTTGTGTAATTTGCTCAAAAACCATTTCTATGGAAATGGATGCATATACCTCGAATTTAAAACACTTTTATATAAGAATGGTTTTATAAACCATTGACACAAATTTATTGCTCGTTTCATGATAAATGAGGGCAAATGTTCTCAGAAAGTAAAACATGATTTTGATCATCGCATCAAAAATATCAAACAAAATCTAAAATATGGTCATGTAGAATAAGGCAGTAATATGTGCTTTATAAGTACTAATAAACAGCCAATATGCTAGTAATATGCATGCTTAGAAGCAACTAGTTTATAGTGTTCCCTAATCTAAAGTGTTACAAAATAACCTAACTTCAACTTTAATAGATTTTGATGAGGTGAGAAAACATATCCATAAAAAAATATCCACATTCATTTGGATTTTTCACATGGAAACAGCAATTGATGATGGTCTTCAAAATACAAGTCTTGTTCGAGATATATGAAAGTGACATGATGTGTAGCCAAATATGGTGTCCCATACTCTCTGCATTTAACCCTTCCAAGTGCACACACTCAGCAGTTGGGTGTTCGGTGGCTTGCTCAAGGGTCTCACCTCAGTCGTGGTATTGAGGGTGGAACAGAGCTCTGGTCATTCACTCCCCCCACCTACAGGTACTGAGACTTCTGGGTTACAAGCCCGACTCTCTAATCACGACTGCCCCTAATGTGGGCAATATCTTGTTTGATATTTTTGATGCGATTATCAAAATCACCTTGAACTTTGTCAGGACATTTGTCCTTATTCATGAAACATGAGCAATACATTGTGTAAATGGTTTATAAAACCAGTCTTACGTAAAGTGTTGCATTAAATGCAAGGTAAATGCATGCATGCTAAGTGCTACCGATTATTGTTTTTTATTCAGGTGAACATCAAAAATGTCATTTTCTACCAAAAACATTCGTGCGTCCCTACTTGTCTTAAAGATGTGATAACAAAAAACAAGAAAATATTTCCAAGTAGTATAACTCTGAAGGATATGATCTTTTCTAATAATACTATAAAATTGATCATACCTGCAGGAATCTTGTCACATCGACAATGACATTCCTGAAGACGTAATCTTCCTTTTGGCAGTCAAACCAGCCAAGCTTGGTGATTCTGGCATAGAGCTGGATCAAGGCTTGTGTCACAAAGGCAGCAAGCTTTGGCCGGGTCGCCAGATAATTGAGAACATAATTTCCTGAGGAACCAATGTGACATTTATTTCAAAATGTTGTTTTTTCATGGTTTTTGGGTTCTATATCTCATGGCTGATCTGATAAACTTACGAATGTCAATGCGCTGCTCCAGGGGAAGTGGATTGCTTGTACGAGACACCAACTTGGAGAGACATGTTGCAGCCAACAACTGCGAGTACGAGGACTGTAAAGATTTTACAAATACAGCGTCAAGTTAAATAGTTGCTTAACTCAAACTAATGAACTAGGATTTTTGAGAAAACTGTTGTCAGATAAATTCAGATGTCCTGTTCTTCAGTTTTCAAAACGTTTAATTCTTACACTTCCGCTTTCCAGCAACAACTGGCATTTACTCAGGCAGTCGGGACTGTTGGTGAACTCCACCAGAGCTTTCTCGGCCTGTAGACGTGTGGTGGTGTCTGTGGTCTCATATAGTTGCTTGCACAGGATCTCTAGCTGGGCTAGGCTCTGAAAAAGAGACCCACATGTGTTTAGTGTCAGCAAAAAACATTCAGAGGATATTTGAGAGCTGAATCAATAAAACTCCTATGTCTAAACCATTTACTCATCTAAACTATTTTTATAAACTAAGTCCTACAAAGTCTACTTGCAGAAATGTGTTAGTATTCAAGTGGTCAATGACATTCATTTATCCACATCTATTTTTTACATCAAAAATACATTAAAAATGAAATTCATGCATGCAACAACTTGAATACAACTAGGGCTGGGCGATAATTCGATAACGATAATTATCGCGATATAATTTTCCTCGATAAAACGATATGAAGAATTCGATAAATGTTCGATATAATGTTTATGCGCCAAAAGCGGAACGAAACAGCGCGACTCATTTGAATCGCGCCACACGGACCGTTTATCCGCTCGGATCAAAGTTCAAACTACAGCGCAGCGCGAGCTCACTAGAGCAGATGCGTTTACTCAGTCACGCGAGCATTAAGCAGTGCTGTGAGATCCAGTGTGAAGCACTTGAATTCAGTGATGAACACAAATGACTCTGTGATTTAAACTAGTTTAAAGCCAAACAGGAGAAACACCGTGTGCAACGAGACAGTCAGAAGGCTTCTCAATCTACAAATCGCCATCATTTTCCATGGATTTACTGTAGTAACACTCACTGCACCATGGTATTGTTGCAGAAATTTGGTATATTCACACACTGAATTTTATTAAATGAGTAATAGTATACATATTTGTACTTTTTGTAATTGTATTTCATACAAATAGGCTACCTAAAAACTATATAGTTATATTTTTACCATGGTATTGAGGTGCTATTTGTGTGGTTTTAACTGTGTTTATCATGATTTAAATGTATGTTACTATGGAAGATCGATGCTTAATTTAAAAATAAATAAATGAAACCATTCTGTTTTTGCTTCAAATTTCGAAACTATACAATGTAATTTAGATTAAAAACTGCTCATGTTGCATGTATGCAGCATCTTTGTTTGGATCATGATTAAAATGCAGTGGTTGCCTCTAATTTTAAATGGAAAGAATATTTGTATAAAAATACTTTTACCTTAAATTCATATTTAAAAATGTAAATATTTTCTGAAAATAATGATAAAGATGCATTCAAGGTTTTAGGGAATTCTGTTATTAATTTTTACTTGGTTACACCACATGACAGCTTTTAGGGTCATTAAATTGTTCCAATTGCTTAAAACTGTAATAGCGCAACTCCTCAACTAGGGTTGCAAAAGTGTGGAAAATTTCCAAAAATCCCTGGAATTTTCCAAAAATCCCTGGAATATTCCAAAAAATCCAGGAAAGTTTCCAAAATTTCTGGAATGTTTCTGAAATTTACTGGAAATTTTCCACCTTTTTGCAACCCTATCCTCAACAAACTATGCAATATGAAATATCATTCATGTCCAAGCTAAAGCTGTACCCGGAGTCTTATAATCTTAAGATAGAGAGCTTCAGTATCTTCTTGTACAATCACAACATCAAACATCAGGTTTATGAAAAACTAGACACTAATGTTCCATTGAGCAAATTAATGCACAGACATCACATCCACAAGTTATTGTTCTAGGTCACAGAGGTAGTATCTGGTTCATGAATGCATGAAAGACTATATGGTGACTGGAGAAAAAAGTCAGCGATACACTTTGGTAATACATAGAGGAGCAATGAAAGAGCTAACCCGTGTTATGCAGCAACAAGCCTCTAAACAGTTCTTTGTTCCCTGTGGAGCATAACTATACAAAATCAGCATCAGCAGAAAAACAGCAGCTGCAACAAATGCACAGCCTCAATGAAAAACATCAAGTTTATTATGCTAACAAATTCTGAACTAATGAACTCAGTAGCCTATAGAGCTATTTCAAATTTTTTTTTTGCACTCAAATGTTAAAGGAACACTCCACTATTTTTGAAAATAGGCTTATTTTCCAACTCCCCTAAGAGTTAAACAGTTGAGTTTTACCGTTTTCGAATCCATTCAGCCGATCTTCGGGTCTGGCGGTAGCACTTTTAGCTGCAGCTTAGCATAGATAATTGAATCTGATTAGACCGTTAGCATCTCGCTCAAAAATGACCAAAGAGTTTCGATATTGCTACCGATTATTGTTTTTTATTCAGGTGAACATCAAAAATGTCATTTTCTACCAAAAACATTCGTGCGTCCCTACTTGTCTTAAAGATGTGATAACAAAAAACAAGAAAATATTTCCAAGTAGTATAACTCTGAAGGATATGATCTTTTCTAATAATACTATAAAATTGATCATACCTGCAGGAATCTTGTCACATCGACAATGACATTCCTGAAGACGTAATCTTCCTTTTGGCAGTCAAACCAGCCAAGCTTGGTGATTCTGGCATAGAGCTGGATCAAGGCTTGTGTCACAAAGGCAGCAAGCTTTGGCCGGGTCGCCAGATAATTGAGAACATAATTTCCTGAGGAACCAATGTGACATTTATTTCAAAATGTTGTTTTTTCATGGTTTTTGGGTTCTATATCTCATGGCTGATCTGATAAACTTACGAATGTCAATGCGCTGCTCCAGGGGAAGTGGATTGCTTGTACGAGACACCAACTTGGAGAGACATGTTGCAGCCAACAACTGCGAGTACGAGGACTGTAAAGATTTTACAAATACAGCGTCAAGTTAAATAGTTGCTTAACTCAAACTAATGAACTAGGATTTTTGAGAAAACTGTTGTCAGATAAATTCAGATGTCCTGTTCTTCAGTTTTCAAAACGTTTAATTCTTACACTTCCGCTTTCCAGCAACAACTGGCATTTACTCAGGCAGTCGGGACTGTTGGTGAACTCCACCAGAGCTTTCTCGGCCTGTAGACGTGTGGTGGTGTCTGTGGTCTCATATAGTTGCTTGCACAGGATCTCTAGCTGGGCTAGGCTCTGAAAAAGAGACCCACATGTGTTTAGTGTCAGCAAAAAACATTCAGAGGATATTTGAGAGCTGAATCAATAAAACTCCTATGTCTAAACCATTTACTCATCTAAACTATTTTTATAAACTAAGTCCTACAAAGTCTACTTGCAGAAATGTGTTAGTATTCAAGTGGTCAATGACATTCATTTATCCACATCTATTTTTTACATCAAAAATACATTAAAAATGAAATTCATGCATGCAACAACTTGAATACAACTAGGGCTGGGCGATAATTCGATAACGATAATTATCGCGATATAATTTTCCTCGATAAAACGATATGAAGAATTCGATAAATGTTCGATATAATGTTTATGCGCCAAAAGCGGAACGAAACAGCACAACTCATTTGAATCGCGCCACACGGACCGTTTATCCGCTCGGATCAAAGTTCAAACTACAGCGCAGCGCGAGCTCACTAGAGCAGATGCGTTTACTCAGTCACGCGAGCATTAAGCAGTGCTGTGAGATCCAGTGTGAAGCACTTGAATTCAGTGATGAACACAAATGACTCTGTGATTTAAACTAGTTTAAAGCCAAACAGGAGAAACACCGTGTGCAACGAGACAGTCAGAAGGCTTCTCAATCTACAAATCGCCATCATTTTCCATGGATTTACTGTAGTAACACTCACTGCACCATGGTATTGTTGCAGAAATTTGGTATATTCACACACTGAATTTTATTAAATGAGTAATAGTATACATATTTGTACTTTTTGTAATTGTATTTCATACAAATAGGCTACCTAAAAACTATATAGTTATATTTTTACCATGGTATTGAGGTGCTATTTGTGTGGTTTTAACTGTGTTTATCATGATTTAAATGTATGTTACTATGGAAGATCGATGCTTAATTTAAAAATAAATAAATGAAACCATTCTGTTTTTGCTTCAAATTTCGAAACTATACAATGTAATTTAGATTAAAAACTGCTCATGTTGCATGTATGCAGCATCACTGTTTGGATCATGATTAAAATGCAGTGGTTGCCTCTAATTTTAAATGGAAAGAATATTTGTATAAAAATACTTTTACCTTAAATTCATATTTAAAAATGTAAATATTTTCTGAAAATAATGATAAAGATGCATTCAAGGTTTTAGGGAATTCTGTTATTAATTTTTACTTGGTTACACCACATGACAGCTTTTAGGGTCATTAAATTGTTCCAATTGCTTAAAACTGTAATAGCGCAACTCCTCAACTAGGGTTGCAAAAGTGTGGAAAATTTCCAAAAATCCCTGGAATTTTCCAAAAATCCCTGGAATATTCCAAAAAATCCAGGAAAGTTTCCAAAATTTCTGGAATGTTTCTGAAATTTACTGGAAATTTTCCACCTTTTTGCAACCCTATCCTCAACAAACTATGCAATATGAAATATCATTCATGTCCAAGCTAAAGCTGTACCCGGAGTCTTATAATCTTAAGATAGAGAGCTTCAGTATCTTCTTGTACAATCACAACATCAAACATCAGGTTTATGAAAAACTAGACACTAATGTTCCATTGAGCAAATTAATGCACAGACATCACATCCACAAGTTATTGTTCTAGGTCACAGAGGTAGTATCTGGTTCATGAATGCATGAAAGACTATATGGTGACTGGAGAAAAAAGTCAGCGATACACTTTGGTAATACATAGAGGAGCAATGAAAGAGCTAACCCGTGTTATGCAGCAACAAGCCTCTAAACAGTTCTTTGTTCCCTGTGGAGCATAACTATACAAAATCAGCATCAGCAGAAAAACAGCAGCTGCAACAAATGCACAGCCTCAATGAAAAACATCAAGTTTATTATGCTAACAAATTCTGAACTAATGAACTCAGTAGCCTATAGAGCTATTTCAAATTTTTTTTTTGCACTCAAATGTTAAAGGAACACTCCACTATTTTTGAAAATAGGCTTATTTTCCAACTCCCCTAAGAGTTAAACAGTTGAGTTTTACCGTTTAGGAACTATACTCTCATTCCGGCGTGCGCCTGTTACGCAGCGCCTGAAAATAGACTAACTTCCATCAACATAACCAACGTGACCACCTGCTTGCACAGGGAGCATGCTGGGGACTATTTTCAGGCGCTGCGTAATATCATTGCGCCTGCTGCACTCATGTTACTTCAGCAAAGTTCCTTGATTATTACGCCGGAATGAGAGTATAGTTCCGAGCCATATCGGCCTAGAAAATCGCAACTTTTCATTTTTCGTCAGTTTTAGTACACGATGTAACTACAGAACAGTCAAGTTTTAAGTAGGAAAAATATAGAAACTCTTTGGTCACTTTTGAGCGAGATGCTAACGGTCTAATCAGATTCAATGATTTTAAATAAACAGTTTAATACTCGAACAGTTTTAAAATGCACACTTTCTTGTGCATTCCACAACTTTAAGCTGGTTTTTCATGTCCATGTATGTATATGCTTGATGCAACCTTCTGATAACTGAATCAAGTGACCATAAAAGAACAGGGAGTACCCCTAAACATACAAGATAAAATGCAAGCTGTATTTGCAAGCAACTGCACAGAAAAGATAAGACACCTCCAAGTTGAAAAACCCAAAATTAAAACACATGTATTGGTTTTTACTAAAACTAACTTCAATAACCACCATCAAACTGTTCGTACCTACCTATAACATTTTAATAACAACTATTAACATGCTTTAAGCATTCTGCATTAAATGTTTAAGTGTACTTAAACACTTCTGAATTACAATTTTACAATAAACAAAAAGTTTAAAGCTGCTAAACAAGTAAGAAATACTGCTGAGTCATAACAACCTACTGACCTAACAACATGTTCTGTGATAATTATGTAAACACACATATATTGAAGCATTATTTGATTGGTTTAGGTCTAAAACAAGCGTGTTACACCACCAAGATGTGATCGGCAACACTCAAACGGACTTTAAGACACAGAGCTGCTCCGGTGGTAATTAATAATCTATTACTGCAAATGGAATGGCTTCTTCACCACCTACAGAGTAACAGGACGCGTGACAACAACACTGGAAAGCTCATGTTTACTGTTGCCTGTGCACATGAGAGTCAGGTTAACAAAAGCATCGTCCCCCACCTTATTAAAATTCATGGGAATATACAGTTATTCAACACTGTGTTTAACCTCCTTAACCTTTGCCCTCAAATATGACCTGTCTTGTCTTTTGTGATTAGCAGCTTTTTACAAGTTGACAGACGACAAGCAGCGGCTGTGTCTGAAAACACGGTAGAGTTTAACGCTCCAGTCACGTCCAAAAATACGGTTTAGCTAGGGAGGTTTTCAGGAACCAGCCATATTGAGTCTGTCAAAAGAGAATGAGGAGTAGAAAAATAATTTAATTAAATTTCTGAGCGGACTTTACCTGCCAATTACACCCGAGACGACTTTGGTTGCCACCTTATGAACCCCTCAGTTATCATTATCAGGACAGATTTATTAAATACCAGTGAAACAAAATAAATTATAGTAAAGGTAACGATTTCGACTAATAAACATACATAAAGAAAATAAAACATTAAATATGACATACATTACAAAACAGTGAAAAGTGCTGACAAAAGACATCGCTGGTTCGCTGCCTTCACTCCATCCAGTTATTTAACTCTCCCACTATTACAGGTGATAAAACATTAGTAATATATATTTTTTTTTATGACTTTAAACTCTACCTATTTAACATTCGCAGGAAATGTTAATGTGCATAGCGTTTATATAACTTTGAGGAAAAACTAGTTTCTAGTCGGGCTTTTGGTTTGACGAGGCGGCGCGCGGGAGAATCTCACGAGTTAGCACGCGAGCTACAGGCTAACAGCGAGAGAGCTCAGCAAACCGGACACATTTGCGTCCAGCAATCACACAATGACAGATAACCGCGTGCAAATACGCTTTTGGGCTCACCGAGAGGCTTTTCTCTTGGAAAAAGCCTCGCTGAGCTCGGGTTACTATCGCTTGTGTATACAAGGCCAGTGCATTCATTGCATGGCAAGCGGTTGGATGCGGCATGATGCCTTGTTTACAATGTAAAACATCACTGTCGCTATAGAGTTACATGCAATTTATTATAAACGATTTCTCGGGATCTACCGATCTCTGCTGCTTAATATAAAATACCTTACATTTAGCTTCAAAACAACTTTCACCGGTGCCGCAGAGTTGTGTGTTAGCCTGGATCACAGAGTTAAGATCAACATGATGACAGGCCACAAGTCAACACTTGATAATCGCATCCAATAAAGCATGCGAGTCGACCTCTTCAGCCGCGCAACGCATGCATTTAAAACAAACACATGCGCATCGCCGAAACAAGCCACGGAATCTATCATTAGACTGCAGTGGATCATATTTCATTAATTTAATAATAACAAAACAAAATCATTTACTTACCTGCACATGATCCGCCATTTTGCTCCATTCATGCTCCTCTCTCACTCCCCCCTGACAATGAGCATGCGCACATCTGTTCACGATCACGGGGACATTTACGCAAGTGACGCACGTAGTGATGAAGCCAGATGTTCGCTCGGGGCTTCGTGAATCCTGTTACAGCAGACAGCCGCCGCCGAAACCAACGCCGAAAAGAGCCTTTGTTTACATGCTTCTTAAAGTGAAACTGCGAATTCAGATTTCGAAGGTCACGTGGATTTATGACTCTAAGCATGGTTGACGGTGCTTATTGTGAAGTTGAGAAATAAGGCTATTAAACTTTTAAAGAGGCTCCCGCGGGCGTTCTGACACCTGTTGTAAACGTGCACACAGTAATTAGGTTAATTAGAACGTTTTAAACAGACACAATGTTATTATTATTATTATTATTATTATTATTATTATTATTATTATTATTATTATATAAATTTTCAGGATATGAAGTCTCAGGGTGTGGTGTAGTTCAGCCACCTGGTCTAATCAGGGCAGTGGACACTTTCTGGTTATTATTATTATTATTATTATTATATAAATTTTCAGGATATGAAGACTCCAGACAGATTGTTTTCTGTAGTTTTAATTTACATGGAGCGGGTTGCGCCCTCAAGGATGCCGCCATGTTGGCATCACATGACTAGCTTTATGCAGTTGACTGATTTAGTAAGATTATTAAAAACAACGCTAATAATACATTTTCTGTATAATAACTCAATCAGTGTTGTTTCACACTAATCAACCTGAATCTTTATCATCTTGTTTGAATCCCCTTTAAAGTCATCCTGATACTAAAATGTTTGTTCATCATCTTTTCTTCTCTATATTGTGATGTATGTGAGCAACTGATTTAAAAATATGACATATAACTGAATAATAGATTTAATAATGTTATACCTTTTAATGATTTTAAACAAACATTGACCTGCATGAATAATCCAGAAGACTAGATTTTCCAATGCTGGGCTTTTTTAAAATACAAAGTCTGTGGCAAATTTCATAGCAAATAATAACTGTTCATTTTGATTTCACTGTGACTTTAATGTTGGGACCAAGGATTGTTGAGACATGGATTTCATAATAAAAGCTCAATATGAGCCAATATGACCAGATGGTCCTGTTAACCACAAACAAACGAATGAATGAATGAATGAATGAATGAGATTTAATAGTCATAATTTTCCCTCTCATCTGTGAGTTCTCACCATGGTTTGTAAAACTGTCACATTAGAGTTTGTTTACAGTTTTAATGAATAAAACAACCCACAAAAAACTGTCTATAATTATATTCATGTGGTTATATAAGCACATTAAAAAGGACAACATTATTATAGTTATGATTAAAAATGTACGGAAACGTTATTTATTTGGTTGTTGCTTGCATTTTCAAAGGGAGTTACTATATTGCTAGCACATTGCTATGTGGTTGCTAAAGAGTTCTTGGTGGTTGCTTGTTAATAAAGCCGTCTGGGTTTTTGTACCCTAAAATAAGTAGCTTATTGATGATGATGTGAGGTTTTATGGGGGATTTTATGGTACTAAATTATATACAGCAGTTATGATCCATTTATTACCCGTTAACCACTTTTTGAGCATAGACCTGAAAATGAAATTTCCAACTTAAACTGTTGTAAATCTGAAATGCTCTGGAGCACAGACTGGAGTTTGGTCTCGTTTTAAAGAAGAAACATTGCAGATTAATGAAGTGAAGTAAAAAAGTGGAAAAAACAAACAAAAAAAAGTGTATTATTATGCACAGAAATACTATTTCAAAATTTTATATGAATTAAATATTTTCCAAACCATGTTTTACTCTAAAACTGAGAACATGTAAATCAAAGCTATACATTTAAACAAGCTGTGTTCCAAATTTGAGTTTGAAATCTAAAAAAATGAGCTTTCAGTAAGATTTTGTGGGTGCTCAAACATTTCCACTAGATGAAATTCACTTGCATTCATTTCCAATGTGATCATTTTTGACCGCGAACAGTACACATGTGACTATTGTTTTTCAGGGCAAGTTAACCATTCAAATCATGTCCATGATTTTTTTTCTTCTCATAGCAAGTGCCAAAACCTTTATCAAGTTTTGTATAGCATTCCAATGAAGTAAAAAAATTCTATAAAACCAAAATGTCATTTTTTTCAGTTAAAAATGACTGAACAGCACCAGATGGGTTAAATTTACCAAGAGGTTTTGATGACCAGATGGTTGTATTTTTGGATCAGGACGATAAACAGTCAACTAAGTAATACAGAGGTTAAAAGATGGCTAAACTGACAGCTATCAGGCTCTCTACCAAACCACACGATATTCACAGTTTATTACGCCTGCCAGCTAACAGCTCATTCAAAGTATTCACTGAAGTGAAAAAGAGCGTGGACACAGCAACAGGATTAGATGCTTTTTCATTCAGAGTTTGTTCCCTGTTATTGTATTGGATTTATCACACTGTGACTTAGAATTGCGTTGAACTGAACAGTTTTGCAACCGAGTAACTGACATCTTCAAGAATTTTTTTTAAAGGGGTCATATGATGCGATTTCAAGTTTTCCTTTCTCTTTGGAGTGTTACAAGCTGATTGTGCATAGATAAGATCCCTGAAGTTGCAAAGACTAAAGTCTCAAAACCAAAGAGCTAAAACGGCTCGTTCTAACATGCCCCCACATATCTACCTCACTATGTGGAAATATTTGCATAATGCCGCCCAAATGTGCACGCAAAGAAAGAAGGCGTGGTTTCAGTAACCGCAGTTAGTGTTGAAGCAGCCATGTCAGGGAGATGCTGTGTGTTTCTAGGCGAAAGCAAAAGCACTTTATTTGGCCTTCCGAAAGTAGATGCATTTAGGAATCTTTAAGATTACTTACAACAGAACAGCAATGCATTTTATGGACGACCGTTTCGTGAACCTAGGAGAGGAGGTAATTCTGACGCGCGCGCGCGTGTGTGTGTGTGAGAGAGAGAGAGACAGCGTCACATCAAAGTGGAGTCAGCTGTCTTAACCGCAGACTGCGCTTGTGGGAAGGAGGGACTTTGTAGAAAATGAAGCGTTTGAGAGAGGCGGGGCATAGAGGACCTACAATAATGTACAGTATTTGAAAAATAATGTGTTTTTTGAACATTAAAACATGTCAACATATTCTGTTACACCAAATACACAAAATAATGATATTTAAAAAAGCATCATATGACCCCTTTAATGAACATCAAAATTTTAGGTTAAAATGTATAGCAAGTATCAGAATTTCATTTCAGTTTTTTTCACCATGCTCCTGCATGACAAATTAATTATTTTAAAATACAAATGTTCAATTTAGTCTTTAGCCCAGTATACATTCATGCATGTAACAAAATGATGACCAAAATACTGTTTAAAACGGCTATTTTTAACTAAAGCTAAAACTAAATAAAAAAAATATTTTCAGTAATTTAAATAAAGCTAGATAATAAATATTAAAAATAGATGAAACTGTAACTTAAATAAATAAGTTGAAGATGAACTATTAAAACTAAAACTGAAATAAAAAATTTGCTAAAGCTATACAGAAATATTTGAAAAACAAACAAAAACAACAAATACATATTAAAATTGCTAAAACTAAAATGAAAATGGAGCATATAAAAATAAAATTGAATTTAGCATGTGACACCAGGACATTTTCAATCAGCTTTTGTTGACTGGCCAGATGACAGCAGGATGTCACATGACTAAAGATGACATTTGCAGTGTTTCAACTCTGGAAAACTCCTTTGGACCCTTTTCAAGCTACACTATATCAATTTAGTTCTGAGGCTTAAAAATGGACATTTCTATGTGCTTGTATTGAAAGACTAAGAAAAGGGGGTTTCTAAATAATAGTGTTTTATCAGCAGCAGCTGCTCTTCAAAAATGTGTACATATATGGACCTGTTGGTGATGTTTGTGAAAGTGCTGTAATAGCCCCCATTGGTCACAAAGGGGCACCATAGATCCACCATCAGAACACAGGCCTATGACAAGAAACCTTAGCATGTTTATTTGACATCCACTGACCAGTTTCCTGAGTGTTATTTTCACACAACTTTAGGTCACAAAGCATATAACGCACATTTTGATGTACACAAATACTTTTGATCAGTTTTAGATACTGTAGAAAATGCTAACATTGCAGATCATGTTAATATAATTTGGACTGACACTTGTAACAATGCACAATTTTGCATAGCATTTGCTGTAAGAAGTAGTAAGATATGAGAAAAAGTGACATTTTCCCATGACCCTGTGATTGATTCTAATGAGGTGCTAGTAGGATGTTTAAGGTATTCACACTTTCTCAGAAGATATACTGTCTTCAGCCCTAAATAGTGCCAAACAGGAAGAATCATATGAGTAGGAAACCAACAGCCATACAGACACACGCCCACTCATCTGACTTCTCCAAGTTACTGATTTAGACTTCATCTTAGCCAGGAAGTAAGACTGACAATGTACCTAAGGTCAGTCCACCATTGACAGCAATGCCTCTCATAGTCATTCAAACAGTTTAAAAGCAAAAGGGAATCAAGGGAACCTAGCGAGAGAGAGAGAGTGGAGGAGAGAAAATCAAGACAAAGGCCAGTGAAGAACCATGGAGGAAGACATCAGGAGAAAAGGGATGCTTTATTTTCATCAGCAGCGCTTCGGCAAGGTGAGACTCGGTGTCCTTCTCAGAGCTTTATAAGTAGTGTGATTATTTTTGCAAGATAAACTAAAGAAATAAATGCATTTTCACACACACGCATGGCTGTGGATTCAGCATATATGAGCGGAACAGCAAAGGTCAGAATATATATACAGTATATATATATATATATATGTATACATACACATACTGTACATGTGTATGAATGTATATAAATACTATATATACAGTATATTCATCATAGAATGCTGAAAAAGATGTATTATGATTTACACAAAAATATGAAGCACCACAACCCTTTTCAACATTGATAATAATAAGAAATGTTATTTTATTATTACATATATTATCTTTTATATTGCAATAATTTCACATTCAATTTTCTAATTAATGTAGAAACAACATACAGACAGTATATTTTTAATATTTGTTTAACGGCGTCTTTGTTTTAAGGGAGTATCACTGATTCCAATACTACTACTGATGTCTGTATGAAATTGTTTTCTTTCCTTCTAATTTTTAACCATGAACTATAGCCATTCAACATTACAGTATAATTGAGAGCTATCAATTTTAACATTTATTAGACTTTAAAAATAACAACTAATTTAAGTGAACTTAAAGCAATTTCTCACATAAACCCTATGAATGTCATATTTAGCTACCTGTGCCCTTCAACAAGTAAAATACTGAAAGTGAATAAAGTTATCAAACACTAAATTCTAAATTAAATATAGATGAATCCTTAAAGCAACAAAAATGATAGATTTCCTCTTTTTTTCTTTTGCTCTTTGAGGAACAGACATCACAGCTGCTGAACATGACGCAGATCTGACACGCATGGCATTTTCTCACAACTCTTTACCTTTTCTGACCCACTTCAGGAAAGTTTTGAAAACCAATGCATTTCAGAAACTTAAATGTGACTCATACATACATAACAAATACTTACATGCATGCACAGTTTAATCACCTTTTTGGTGACTTCATGACTTAACTGATGACATAATTAAGACCTTGCGTGCTAGTAGTTTCATTTGCACTTTAATATGAATTTATGTACAGCGTGGGCCACTGCATTTGCGCGTGCAATGGAAGAGTATGTGCTACGGGCTGACAGGACAGGAAAATTCGTTTTTACTGACATGCCCTGGCAGCATCTCATCTGACCACAGTTCACTGTTGTTCTACTGAAGCTCCCTCGTCACCTTTACCGTTCCGCCCTTGTTTGACTCGGGCCTGGCGCTGCAGTGAAGATGGAGTGCGCGTCTGAAAAGTCTTCCGTTTATTGTGGTCGTAAAGACGTTCTACGCAATTCTTGTCAAGAAAAAAAGAGACAGAATCAGCAGTTGTGAGTGGGGTGGCCAACCTTAGCTAAATTACCTTACCTTAATTGCATTAAATATTTTTAACGCGTTAAACTGAAAAAAATTAGTACACGCTAATTTTGACGACACTATACATTATTATTCAATTCAATTCAATTAAAGTTTATTTGTATAGCGCTTTTCACGATACAAATCGTTGCAAAGCAACTTTACAGCAAATTAAGTTTCTACAATATTTAGTGGTAGCTTATCAGTGGTGACTGTCAGTTAATGTACATATGGCAGAAATGTACGGAAAAATCAATTAATAAAGACGTAATCAAACAGACGATGAACACTATTAACAGCAATTATTATATGATGCAATCAAACTTATAGCAAAATGTGGTAGTTCTGTATGTTGTTTCAGGGTTGGCATCATCTGAGGTCCTCTGAGGGGTTGGCATCATCTCTTCTCAGGTGTTCTGGATCCAGACTGAAGCTTGTGTAAATCCTAGTTACCACAGGATGTCAATCCCGTGTCAAAAACAGAGAAACAAATAGAGACATAATTAGCGTAGCTGCTGTTCCCCCATTAAGGGCCTTATAGGCAAGTAATAATATTTTGTAACTGATACGGAACTTAATAGGTAGCCAGTGCAGAGACTGTAAAATTGGGGTAATATGATCATATTTTCTTGACCTGGTAAGGACTCTAGCTGCTGCATTTTGGACTACCTGTAGCTTGTTTATCGAAGATGCAGGACAACTACCTAGCAGTGCATTACAATAGTCCAGTCTAGAGGTCATGAATGCATGAACTAGCTTTTCTGCATCAGAAACAGATAACATGTTTCGTAACTTGGCAATGTTTCTAAGATGGAAGAAGATTGTAACATGGGAAATATGATTTTCAAAAGACAAGCTGCCATCTAATATAACACCCAGATTTTTGACTGTAGAGGAAGTAACAGTAGGCTACATCCGTCTAGTTGCAAATTCTAATCCAAGAGATTCTGTGTACTGTCTTTTGGTGCAATAAGTAATATCTCTGTCTTATCCGAATTTAATAAGAGAAAATTATTGGTTATTATTATAGGCTATATTATATAATTAGGTCTATAGAATGTTAAAAGATGATAAAAAGATTTTTTAAAAGTCTTGCTGAGCCCAATATTCAAAATATGAGTGCGATTTACATTGTGTATATTAAAGTGATTTTAGTAAAGTTAGCTATATATTATATCGACATTATTATTAATATTATTATTATTGACTAAAATTAATCCAAAAGTAGTTAAAATACATTACTTAAAATGAGTAATCAAGATTACATTACTAATTATAATTTTTAGTAACGGACCACAATTGGTTGCCAAAGTCTACCCAGCACTGTATGACTATCACTACCTTTTGGCAACCAGAAGCACGTCCAAATACTTTTTCTCTTCATTTTGATAAGTACCTCTATTGTTTTATCATTTTTAAAATATATTTTGCTTGAAAGTGTCTTGTGCTTTTAATTTGTCATTTTTTTCTAAATAAACACTGCTTGGTTTGATATTTGCTAGTATTGCAATGACATGTGACTTCAAAGTATATGTATTCAAATAGCACAAAGCGAGCATATTTCAGACTATGAATGTGCGTGTGTGCTCTTCAGAGATGGAGGAAGGTGTGGTGCGTGGCGGTGGCGGAGGGCAGACGCAGCGTGTCACGGCTGGAGCTGTACGAGAACAAACACTCCTCCATCAAACAGGGCTCCAGCAAACGCAAACCTGACTACAAACAGGTGATCCGGCTGCGAGAATGCATCCGCATATCAGAAAGAGAGATAGCTGACTGCCCCAAAGACTGCGCTGCCTTTTATCTCGAGACCTCAGACAAACTTTACGTGTTCGCTGCTCAACATTCAGAGCTGAAGGGCTGGATCAAGAGTCTGTGCGAGCAGGCGTTCCCTGTAGGTTGAATCGCATCAAATAACAGCGCATAATGATGATGAGCGTTTTGCTAATTGCTTATAATACATAATGGACACGTTCAGGTACAGATGTCACACTTTAAAATCGCTTAATGCCTTTCAGGACACCGGGGCTGAACAAAGATTACAGAGAGAGAGCTGCCTCTATTCTGACCCTGTGAGCAGTTCCCACACCAGAGAAATGCAGGAAAACTCACTTTATGACACAGCAGAGAACGGTAAGGCAGTCAAAGTCACGCCAACAACCTAAATATAAGTTATAAATGACTAAAATTATGTTCATTGAAATTAATCTATATTTACCATTGTGAATTGGGTTGCACAAGCATTATTAAGACCCTAAAATACTGCAAACGCAAAGGTAAACTTGCTCTTTCGTCATTACATCAGTTTAACACTTTCATGCAGAAAAAAATAATAAATCGTAGATAATAATACATAAATGGTAGTCTATATTTTATTTATTTATTAAATTTTTTACTTGGAGCTGCTTTCAGAATGTATCTATTCTTTATATCACTTGTATACTATTTATTTATTTCAATTGAATTAAAACTGTAATACATGGTCACCATGTATTATTATTATTATTATTTTTCAGATTTTATGTATTTAAAGATAATTAAATATAATACGTTTTATAATTTGTGTATTTAGAGATAATTAAAAAAGTGTAGTATATAATATGTCATATGGGAAAGTGTTACATTTAATATTTAATATCTATACCAATACATATCTATATCTATCCTACACACACACACACACACACACACATATATATATATATATATATATATACACACACATACATACATATATAATTAATTATTATGTTATTAATTTAATGCACAACAATTACCTTTTTAGTCTAATATTTTATATATCGGGTAACACTTTAATGCATCTCACCCTAACAGGTAATATCAGTGATATTGGAGGGACAGAGGAGAGTAGAGATGCTATTTTAGTTTGTCCTATTGCAAGGACGAACAGTCTCTTTTTCAAGCGAAACCTCAGGCTTGACTCAAATTGCCCATTTGGGCCACAGGTGGCCAACCTTGATTCCATTAAAGGACAGGAAAGAGGGGACACTGTTTTCAGGTGTATGTATAGAGAGAACTCATTCAGGGGAGACGACAAATGAAATGAAGCAGAGGGATGCAAGCTGTCCTCAGATTCACCTGAGGCCACTTCTTATTGACTTCCGGCTTCTTCCTTTTCATCTAGCTTAAGATTTATATTGGTCCTCCTTGTGCATCACTGACAACATGTGGCACTCGCTAAGGCAAGCATCACTACCACTACTTCTATGGTTTTAGTGCGCAACTTATTCCGGACAAGAATGAAAAGCCACTGGAGTTGTGAAAAGAAATCTTACAATCTTAAGTTGCCTTGAAAGAGGGTCCTGGGGAATATTTGGGAATCAGAACATCATTAATAGTATTTTCACACGAATCAGCAAACAACCAGCTATCAAAACACCTAGAACAATGACCTTGATACCACCCACAAAGTGGCTGTGACCTTTGCACAGGCAAGCACCACTCACATTTGCATTAAAAAAAGATTTCAGCTTTAAATGATGTTGTTCAAAATTTCACAATTGGATGTGACTGTCTGACATCTGACTTCATTTTGGGCCAAAAGAGCAGCTGGCCAAAAAATAGCTCTAACTTCCGTTTTATCACTTTGGGTGAAAGCTCTCTGTCAAAGACTGTCATAAGGGCTTCGTGTAGGTTCCGTTGTGCAAGTTTTTAGAGCAGCACACGCAGACAGACATTATGACACAAAGGAGAGGAGAGTGAGTGAAAGAGTGGGGAAGGGAGGAGGATGAAAGTTGTCTGACTGTAAATCAGTACTTCATGAACTTCAAGACGTTTCTATTTTCGTCTGAGGAGGGGAGGAGGGGTGACGAATGACACATCCTCATTTTCCTGAATGCCATGACAACAGTTCTTTAGATATTGACTTCTCCATTGACGAA